TGTGTGCCTTACCTATATTAGACGTTGTGTGCCTTACCTATATTAGACGTTGTGTGCCTTACCTATATTAGACGTTGTGTGCCTTACCTATATTAGACGTTGTGTGCCTTACCTATATTAGACGTTGTGTGCCTTACCTATATTAGACGTTGTGTGCCTTACCTATATTAGACGTTGTGTGCCTTACCTATATTAGACGTTGTGTGCCTTACCTATATTAGACGTTGTGTGCCTTACCTATATTAGACGTTGTGTGCCTTACCTATATTAGACGTTGTGTGCCTTACCTATATTAGACGTTGTGTGCCTTACCTATATTAGACGTTGTGTGCCTTACCTATATTAGACGTTGTGTGCCTTACCTATATTAGACGTTGTGTGCCTTACCTATATTAGACGTTGTGTGCCTTACCTATATTAGACGTTGTGTGCCTTACCTATATTAGACGTTGTGTGCCTTACCTATATTAGACGTTGTGTGCCTTACCTATATTAGACGTTGTGTGCCTTACCTATATTAGACGTTGTGTGCCTTACCTATATTAGACGTTGTGTGCCTTACCTATATTAGACGTTGTGTGCCTTACCTATATTAGACGTTGTGTGCCTTACCTATATTAGACGTTGTGTGCCTTACCTATATTAGACGTTGTGTGCCTTACCTATATTAGACGTTGTGTGCCTTACCTATATTAGACGTTGTGTGCCTTACCTATATTAGACGTTGTGTGCCTTACCTATATTAGACGTTGTGTGCCTTACCTATATTAGACGTTGTGTGCCTTACCTATATTAGACGTTGTGTGCCTTACCTATATTAGACGTTGTGTGCCTTACCTATATTAGACGTTGTGTGCCTTACCTATATTAGACGTTGTGTGCCTTACCTATATTAGACGTTGTGTGCCTTACCTATATTAGACGTTGTGTGCCTTACCTATATTAGACGTTGTGTGCCTTACCTATATTAGACGTTGTGTGCCTTACCTATATTAGACGTTGTGTGCCTTACCTATATTAGACGTTGTGTGCCTTACCTATATTAGACGTTGTGTGCCTTACCTATATTAGACGTTGTGTGCCTTACCTATATTAGACGTTGTGTGCCTTACCTATATTAGACGTTGTGTGCCTTACCTATATTAGACGTTGTGTGCCTTACCTATATTAGACGTTGTGTGCCTTACCTATATTAGACGTTGTGTGCCTTACCTATATTAGACGTTGTGTGCCTTACCTATATTAGACGTTGTGTGCCTTACCTATATTAGACGTTGTGTGCCTTACCTATATTAGACGTTGTGTGCCTTACCTATATTAGACGTTGTGTGCCTTACCTATATTAGACGTTGTGTGCCTTACCTATATTAGACGTTGTGTGCCTTACCTATATTAGACGTTGTGTGCCTTACCTATATTAGACGTTGTGTGCCTTACCTATATTAGACGTTGTGTGCCTTACCTATATTAGACGTTGTGTGCCTTACCTATATTAGACGTTGTGTGCCTTACCTATATTAGACGTTGTGTGCCTTACCTATATTAGACGTTGTGTGCCTTACCTATATTAGACGTTGTGTGCCTTACCTATATTAGACGTTGTGTGCCTTACCTATATTAGACGTTGTGTGCCTTACCTATATTAGACGTTGTGTGCCTTACCTATATTAGACGTTGTGTGCCTTACCTATATTAGACGTTGTGTGCCTTACCTATATTAGACGTTGTGTGCCTTACCTATATTAGACGTTGTGTGCCTTACCTATATTAGACGTTGTGTGCCTTACCTATATTAGACGTTGTGTGCCTTACCTATATTAGACGTTGTGTGCCTTACCTATATTAGACGTTGTGTGCCTTACCTATATTAGACGTTGTGTGCCTTACCTATATTAGACGTTGTGTGCCTACCTATATTAGACGTTGTGTGCCTTACCTATATAAGACGTTGTGTGCCTTACCTATGCTCCAATTTCGTGTCTAAGTGTTTCGTAACTTCAGTTTTTATGCTATTGTTACCTGCACCCATTTCTCTTATAACGTACTTTGTACATTACCTTTACTTCTCTCAGGATCTCCGTGCCTTTGTTGACTTCAGAAAATGACTTTCCATAAACCTTTTTCATGTACAATAGATAGTTTCTGTCTTTTTTAAATATAAATAACACTAAAGATGTTGGACATTTCGTCCTTATGTGATTAATGTTTAATAAAAAAAAAAGAACAAACTAAGTTGCCATATACTGAAACATGAAGGATTAAAAATGGGCTATTAGTTTAGGCTACTTGGTCTCATGTGTTTAATGTTGAGGGGAAGAGACTGTTGTTACACGACGCTACAACTGATTTCCTGTTCCATGCTAGCAATCCCTGATAACAGAGGCGGATATCTCTGATGATTAAGGCATGTCTCACAGGAAAATGTTTTTATGCTGTACTATATATCACCCGTTATATCAGGACTTTCGGCGGTGATCAATGGGCATGGGCAAATCATTATTTGCTGCAAAAGAAAGCATACGTTGTTGTGTGAATTCTTGGAATAAAAATAACTTCATGTTCCGTGTAATATGACTAAGTTAAAAAAAGACATGAAATTATACATATGTCTTTTTCTATCAGCAGTACATTTTATTCCTTGAAAAGGATTTATATTACTTTACATTCAGTAGTTTATTATAATTGCAGCGAATGTAAAAATGTTAGCAGTGCATCGATTTGGACTGACATGGTTCCGCCTCAAGTGTTAACGATTTTGATTATAATGTTTGATATCTCATAGAAGCTTTGTTTAACGATCGAACGGATATAAGATTTTTCTTTGCTTTGATATATTATTACAAATGGCTTGCTACCAAAGCATTCACTCCTTGTTTCTATATCAACATCAGGGGCGGATCCAGATTTGCTTCCAGATGTAAAGTAAATTCTGCGACGCATGTGGTCTAAACCATGTTATGTTGCATTAAATAAAGCAAGATACCAGTTTTCGACTTTTTCAAGGGTCTCTTCTTCAACTATTTTTTATATTTTGCTCTTAGTTTTTCTCAGTAAAATGTCCCAGTGAAATGAAAATCAATATAATACTAGTATTTTGGTAATTTATTCATTTTAATTTTTCTAAAAACTGTGATGTTAATTGCCCTTCTTGCAAATATATTTGAAGCTCTGTACAGCACGTTAAATACACGACAAATAAAGTATGTATGACTCACGAAACAAAAACATTTGATATATGAAATGATAAAAAAAGATAATGCGTACAAAGATACGTCATCATTTTAAAGTTTTAATATCAAAATACAAATATTACAGCTGAAAATAACATGCTCGTCAAAGGCAGTAAATACATTTATGCCTACTCCACATCAAACTCCACGCAAATATAGAATTGAACAAGGCCATCATAAGATGACAATTTATTATAATGGCATCATGACACAAACAATGAAAATGATGTTTACTGTCAATTTACATCCTTAGGTGGGGATTCGACAGAATTACGCCACGCCAACACACACATATATATATCACAAAACAAACAATATTAAAGTGTGGCACTTAAGGGTGGGTTTTTCAATAAGGCAAATGGTATACATTTCTGAAAAGATGCTGGCACAAAATGGCGCCGTTGATTTTTTTCTTAAAGATGAAGAAAGAGGCCTTCAGCCAATCAGATTGTAGCGCGGGGTGTTAGCCAATCAAAAACCTCAAAACAATGGAGGCATCAAGAAGGGAGAAGAGGCACCCTAAGGGGCCTATGTTTGTAGCAATCTATTAACAATACCTGTCAAAAAGTCTAATGGAGGGTTTATGTGTCGCGACATAAAATCAGCTATGTATATAGCTTGCATGTATGCCTACTCCACATAAAACTCAACGCAAATATAGAACTGAACAAGGCCATCATAAGATGACAATTTATTATAATTCATGACACAAACTATGAAAATGATGTTTAGTGTGAATTTACATCCTTAGGTGGGAATTCGACAGAATTACACCACAAAGTGAACAATAGAAAGCTTATTGAATTCTTATTGTTCACTTCGCCACCAAAGCATTACAGTAAAATGGTAACTTGGTAACAAGGTCACGTTGGGGAATTAATGTGTGTTGATTACAAATTAAAAAGACAGTATTATGTATTGATATGTTTTGGATACATCTTTAAGGCATAATACGTAACAAAATGTGTTATCCACTTAAATAAAATATATAAGAATAAATCAAAGACAAAAATAATCAGATATTTTCATTCACCAATTCCAACAAGTTTCCGAAGATATTATAGCCTTGTTCCTTTCTTATTCATTGTAACAAATTTAACGATGTCTGCGAACTGGGAAAAAAATAATCTTCTGTTGGGGAAAGTCAATGTGTTTGTATTACCCAGGTTTCAAGTTGTAACTGACCGAAAAAAGCCAAGTTTTTAAACAGGAAGCTTCATTCCACTCGACCTACAGAACAGCAATTGTTTGTTGAACATCATCCGAGGTGGAGGAACAAAGAAGGAATAAACATTTAACAGTATTTAATAGCTAAAACATAAAGATGTACAACAATTAAGCTCGCAATTCTCCCTTCGAACACATTCCTTGCAGCATTTGTCTAATTAGTACTCTAAGCGCCGATCTCTCTAGATAACACAATAGTTGGAAAGCTATTAATACCCTAACAGAGAGAAAACATAGTCGGTGATACCAGAGAGTTAGTCAAATAGTCTCACTTGGTAGGAAAGCAAGTCCCAAACACATAGTGAAGCAAAATACAAAACTACGGACCGAGAACTGTCGGTGATGTCGACGCCACTGAAATTCATGCACAATGTCATATATAACCGTACTCCTGTTTGATATTTGAGATGTCAATTGGTCAGTGACGGATCAAACACTGTCGAGACTATGCTTACTGTTTCTCTGCTGCACTTATAGCATAACTTGCAAATCAACTTTTGTTTCAAATCTCGCATACAAAATACAGTACAGAGTACAGCTGACACTGGCTAGACCATACTGTGTCAACATGACACAGTGACCTTGTGCGGGGTCAGGGTTCTGAGGGGACCAGAGTGTTGAGTCGATGACGTCACCATCACTGTCCTGCCACTGTGTTGTGAACTGTCCGGAGACGTAGAATCGATAATCTTGTTCTACAATGATAAAATTACACGTTTGCATACAATCATTGTGATACTATATACATGAACATCACAAGAGAGGAATATCTGCATTGTTCCGGTTAAATGAGGACAACAATACAATTGATGTCGTTTAGTTAGAGAAAAAACCGTTTAGGTACAGAAAATACACAAGTAATTAATGGCAACCTATTAGCACACGAGGAACACATTAATTGTTGTGGCGTGAAAAGTGATCCAGGACAACAGCTAAGATATTCATGATTTTTAAGTTGTCGCTTTGAAATGTAATGCAATCAATAATACCTCAATATACATATTACACTCTCTTACTTAATAGGTCGTTTTGTTGTATTTCAGTCTGTAGGATAGTTAGACGGTCCATTGTTCCGACCTTCACCAGCCAGGCATCCTGGGAGACACACGACTCTGAGGCATTGACTTGGTGCTGTCTCAGCTCAATCACTTTGTAGGAGAAGTTGCCTGAATCGACATGCTTGTATCCCAGTATTTGGTCGTACGCTGCAAAAGGGTTTGATAGATGGATTCGTAAGGGTTATAATACCTTTCAATATTTCTTATTTTCCATCAGATTAGCATTCCTGTTCTTGGGGAGCATAACGAACAAAGGTATCTTTTTTTAAATTCGTAAATGATTATATGTTTGAATATGACGTTAAAATTAAAAGTCTTCCTTTTAAAAGATATCTTTACGTTTCTGGTTTAAAGGAGTTTTTCAAATATATATTTCATGATTCAGACACATTCTTCGTAAAAGTTTGAGAGGAAGCCTGTAACCTCTGCATTGAAAAACTTGCAATACTGTCTCTTGCTTAAAGGGCTCTTTCAATTTTAAGGCGTGTGTTGGAGGATTAGAGGGGTCATTATATTTACCATTGTTGTAATAGTACGGAATTTCATGTCTGGAGTAAGACGTTTTCATGATCGAGGTATATCCGCGACAGTTTGGAGTCATTGGGTCGAACCTGAAGGACACACAGCCAGTCTGTCTGTGACAGGCGATACCACAGTGAGGGGTTAGGTGGCTGTAGGCTGATGGGCTGACCCAAGGTCGTCATAGATGGTAGGGAGGCCAGGGCGAATCGACTCGACACTGTTATTACCAAAAACATAGAAAAATGTAACAGCGCTGTGTTTGTCCGAATAACTACAGATTTTACACATATTTTTCTTTCGCAAGGGAAAGGTTCAACTTGAATAATGACTAAATTGATTATTGAGAGGCATATGCATTTCAAATAACATGGACAATTTTAACTAGATATAGGGACAGCAGAGCAGTAACGTATTCAGAGTGGTTTCAAGGCTTTCGGAAAACACAACAAGTATCTCGTTGCCCTTAAAACATTTTTGCTCATTATACTCCTTCATGAAACCAATACAATCATGTGTTTGAAAACGCCAATGTTAACTGCTGGATCATGAAATACAATGGAATCGGGAATTTACACAGTAGGTAACACGGCCATACGCACTACTCAGGTAGAGAGCTGTCCGGTGTGCTTCATATTCCTATACAATTAATAATACATACTCAATCTGTACATTCTAAACAACATTTTTACTTTCTGGTCCACCAAGGTCGAATCTAAGACACGGCCAATGATGCCATGACCTAACATTGATCCGGAAGTGCTTGGCTTTGATCGGGGGACTGATGTAATTTCTCACCACCGTATTCTGGTCTGCATTTCCGGTAAACAACTGTAAATGAATGATACGTATAAACGATAATGTAACAACAGCAATTAGCCATACGTAAATGTTATAGTGTATTGATATATCAATTATATTATGCATCACTAAAAGAGTTTTGACAATGATATGGGCTTACTAAAATGTTGTTATTACAACCGTTAATTATGTGTTGATAACTTAATTTTTGCCATTCCCCCAAGACTAGAATTGTTCATGTCATGTCGTATAAAATAGATAACACAAACATTGATGGCCTCGTATACCGCAACATTTGGCACGGTAGTTGTAATTCTACCTTCTAATTGGTTGAAGTTGCTTGGTGATGATATGAGTAGACACGGTTGTTTTTGGTGGACAACTGTTTTGCTTTTTATTAGACATTAATAAATGTTTTTGTGTTATGATGTAAATCGTGTTTTCAGTCTTTTTTAATCAAATTATAAGGGATAACTATAATATAAAATTATAATGCCGATTGTTTAACATTGGGAGATATCAAAGTGTTATGGTATTACAACCGTTATTTATATGTTTGTATTGTGAATATCTATATATTAGCGTTATCATAACGATAGTTGGCGTTATGTATGTACATTATAGTGTTATAATAATTATAATTTATGTGAATTGGTGTGCGACAGTGTTATGCTGATTACCATTCGTGATAAATGTTTATGCTGATGTAACGATCAAATTGTTGATATTTAAGTATGTTATTATAAAATCTATTAATCTCTATATTCCTATGTTTTTTGTTTTGTTTTTATTTTATAGACAATAACGCGGGGTATCCTGTAAAAAATAATTAACATATATCCAACATTTATTTGATCTCAGCAGGTACACCTCAGGAAAACCTGGTCTTATTCATCCTGTACTTTTCAAGGGTATCATCTTTGATATTCCATTTCTTTTTAATTTGCACAGGTGCGATCGATTTAAAACTCGAATTGTGATTTTAATGACACTTCTATATTTTACCTCGGGATTGTTGTCAGATGCCATTACAGTTGTCCAGGTAATATTGTCACTACTGTACAATAAATAAAATGTCTTCACCCATTGTAGATTGTCACCACGACCTTGTATTGCAAAGGAATCTACGATCGCTTCTGTTTCAAATTCTACCTGTATAAGATTGAACAAGATATCATGCTGAATATACACGTGTATATTCCGTCTTTGCGTATTGCAGAGTTATCTTCTCTTGAGAGCAGGTATTGATTGTTACGTCATTGGTTTGTCAAAAAATGATGACGTTACTCTCACAAACAAATGACGTAACAATCAATACCTGCTCTCAAGAGAAGATAACTCTGCAATACGCAAAGACGGAATAACAAGAGCAGATACGAACGCTTGGTGTGAACCAACTCGTAATTCTATAAATCTAATAACAAATAGGAACAAAGAAATAGTTACATAGAGAATAATGAATCCCTTATTGATAGCAAAATTTGCACCGTTAGACACTCGTTGAATTGGTTAATTTAATTTTATGTGTACATTACCATGCGTATAGAATTAAACATCGGTCCATTAAATTTGTTCGTTAGTAAAAAAAAACTTATCTATTTCGGTTCATTAAATATATCCATGCTTAATATAGATTGAAGTGTTTCAATTAATAAATTTAGTTCATTTCATAGGAGGCAAGGTAGTCTAGTGATAGGACGTCGGGCTTGTGACCGAAGGGTTGCGGGTTCAAGTCATGTCACGGCACTATGTTGTATCTTTGAGCAAGATACTTTACCCCGCTTGTTAGGCAGTGCTAAAATTGTTGAATGTTAGCTGTGAGCGCCGAAATGGCAGCACCGGCTGTATGCTCCCCATGGAGTTGAGAACGATATTGGCTGGATGCAAAGGCCCTATAACCACAGATAATAATTTGGGAACCGCTTTGAGACGACCTACGAACTAGGTTGTGATAAAACGGTATATACAAACCTCAAATTATATTTTTTATTGAAAAAACAATCTGGTGTGTTTAGGTTTTATCAATCGGAATCTTTCTAAATACTATAGTGTGTATCGACTTGTTAACTTTGTCCAAAGACGACTTTTCTATATACTACATATTCAATATTTTCATTACATAAATTTAAAAAATTGATCACAAAGATATACTTGTATATAGGAGCTGTCGTCAGTGAAGTTGCTGCACCATCCCGAGCCGCACCCGATAGCTTGTCTTTCATGTTACAGACGTCCATTATCAGGACTGAAGTCATCCTCTAACGCATATGAGCTAGATGCCGTAAACGCTTCGTTCGACACACCAGAAAATCCAGAAAGAAGGTATTCAGAACATATATTGTGCGTTCCTTGAATAAAAAGAATAAACTATCACAATGTGAATTTCTTACATACTGGATTGTTTCAATACAATTAAAAACCTAAACAATACCTGTAGTAATTTATACAATGTAACAACTTGTATATGACAAATGTACGGATATAAATTAGATTATGTTTAATTTATTATTATCAGTACCATTTAAATAGAAACCAGGTCAGTAAAGACGTATCATTATGGAAAACGGGAATGGGAGAATGCTACCCCTAACGAAACGTCATTGGTGACTTTCACACCATTTGATGTGTAATGGGAGAGGCTGAAGACTGAGTCGTACACTTACGTCACTGGTCACAGAAGACATGTTCTGGTGGGTAACGGGTATGGGTAAATACATAGTCTTACATATACGGTAACTAGTCACTGACGACACGTTCTGGTGGGTAACAGAGATGAGTGAACACTCAGTCTTACAAATACGTCACTGGTCACTGACGACACGTTCTGGTGGTTAACAGAGATGGGTGAACACCCTGTCTTACATATACGTCACTGGCCACTGAAGACACGTTCTGTTTGGTAACAGGGATTGGTGAACACCCCGTCTTACAAATACGTCACTGGTCACTGACGACACGTTCTGGTGGTTAACAGGGATGGGTGAACACACAGTCTTACAGATACGTCACTGGTCACTGAAGACACGTTCTGGTGGGTAACAGAGATGGGTGAACACCCTGTCTTACATATACGTCACTGGCCACTGAAGACACGGTCTGGTGGTTAACGGGTACGGATGAACACACTGTCTTAAAGATACGTTACTAGCCACTGATGACACGTTCTAGCTGGTTAGAGGGATGAGTGGATACACAATCTTATAATTGATAACAGGCGATAATTGCGGTTTCTGGGCTTTAAATCCAGGAATCGGTTGCGATCCTTAGCATGTATACAAGGAGTTAATCCCTACAGGTATTGGATTGAGAAAAGAATACATCTGTTGTCACCCAATGAAGGGACCTCCTGCAAAATTGCAAAATCGTTCGCCTATGTCAGGGTATTGCAACAATTGGCTCTATTGGCTCTGGGTATATTGTGACCGGGTGGAAAGCTATGTTGAGTGCCTTCAAGATAGTGTTTCAGTGGGATAGCACTATACAGTCGGCATCAGATTCGCGCTATCACAAGAAAACTATTACACCAACATACCCTTCTCTAGCACACAATACACACCTTAAATGACCTTAGCTGTTGATAGGACATTAAACCCTATAAAACCAACCCAAACTGTATACAATGATTCATCAATTACTTCACATTCCATATAAATGGATTATGATCTGATAATGTGCAACGTATTGTACTTTGTACTTACATTGCTGTTTCTTTCAACAATATTCTGTCGTTTTGTGGAGCAGCCAAAACTATGAAAGCGGTTATAAAATATTCACCCCTTTAACAGTTTGAATGGCTTGAACATCATTGCTTTGTTCATGGCATTTCAACAGCAAATATCCTCTCCTCTCTTTGTCATTATCATGATGTAACAGAGATCAATATATGTTTTGTATTCATGATAACAATGATCAATTTGTATTGACAAACGTCATATAAAACAAGTTTGAAACCGGTACATAAATTCCGCCTAGATAGGTGTCTGTCCAGCGAATGGGCGATTGAGTTTTTGTAGATTGATACATCTTATTATTGATAAAGTTTTTTCCATCACTGATACATCTTTTAACCTGTAAGGTTTTGAGTACTTTTTATTTTTTGAAATTATTTCAGCATTGGATATGGACAATTAAACGACGTAATATAAAGTATATCACGTATAATATGTTCTTCTATGAACCGAAATTTTTTAAATGGTTCCTGTTCTTCATAAATGAATAAGTAAATAAATGTGTAAATAAACAAATAAAATAAAATAAATTCATAAATATCACCAAACAAAT